TTAATTAAAAAAAATAAAATATCTACATCAAAACAGTTCTATTGTATGAGTCACCTGATTGTTAACAGCAAAGGTGTCTCCATATAGCATGTGACATAAATGATCTTTATAAACATATAATTTATGATGTTGCAGGTGAGAGGCTCAAATGTCTGCAACAAAACAGTTCTTGTTTCGGTCTGAAGTCCAAATGGTATTATTCATCAGCAGATTGAAATGTAAAATGTAAAATGTAGTTCCAACATAAAAAAACAAACAATACAAGTGACACAGAGACATTCAACAACACATACAAACACACTCATACATCAACCCACCAGGACATTAATCCTGTATTGCCACTCCGCCCACACAATGTAAACAGCCACGAGATTTCACATCACATATTAACTAATAACATTGTAAGTATTGACACTAATGATGGTAATTACAAAGATTACTGTACGATCAGAAGCCTCCTTATTAAGGGAGCAGGAAGACGTTAGGGTTGGAAGCAGTGGAAGGGCGATTTAATAAAAAATAAAAAAAGTTAATTGTTCACAGGTTATCTGGCAAATGATTCCAGTCAGAAGGTGCTTGTTGTTATAATTCATAATAAAATCAGCAATCTGACTGTAGTTGGGTCTTTTAACTTCATTGCATGACTCAAGTAGCTACCTCAAGTACCTCAAGGGTACCTCAAGGGTCAGTGCTTGGTCCCCTTCTCTTCTCCATATACACAAGCTCACTTGGTTCAATCATCCGCTCTCATGGCTTCTCTTACCACTGCTATGCTGACGATACCCAGCTCTTCCTGTCATTCCCGCCAGACGATGTTACAGCCTCTGCAAGAATGTCATCATGCCTTGCTGATATCTCTAAATGGATGAATGAACGCCACCTTCAACTCAGTCTTTCAAAGACTGAGCTCCTTGTCATCCCAGCCAGTCCCTCTATGCAACCACAGATCAATATCCATCTTGGAACAACCAAACTCATGCCCACAAAGTCTGCCCGGGACCTGGGCGTCATGATTGATGACCAGCTAACTTTTAAGGTTCAAGTAGCCTCGATTGCCCGGTCATGTCGATTTGCCCTGTACAACATCAGGAAGATCAGACCTTACCTGTCAGAACACGCCACACAGCTCCTGGTACAGGCTCTTGTGATATCACGCATCAATTATTGCAACTCTCTACTGGCAGGTCTTCCTACATGCACTATCAAACCTCTGCAAATGATTACAAAACAGCAACAAAAACGGCTCCTCCTTACTTTAACTCTCTCATCCAGGTCTACACTCCCTCCCGCCCACTACGCTCTGCCAATGAAAGGCGTCTGATCCAACCTTCACAACAGGGTCCTCAGTCTCTGGCTAGACTCTTCTCCTCTGTCGCCCTCTGCACCTTTAAGAAAAAGCTAAAGACCCAGCTCTTTCATGAATACCTACTTAACTTAATGACGATGGTCTCCATATTATTGATGATGATGATGGTTGTGACGATTGTTTTTGTTTGATAACGATGACTTATAAGATGGTTTCTATACTGATTAGAGCTCTCAAGAACTGCCGTCAAAGTTGTGCTTTGCCTCTGGTCACTTCCTGTCAATACCTGTGTGTCCAATCAGACTCGAAGCTGATCGTTTGCTCTTACTGACATTGTTCCCTTTTTTCTAGCTCCTTGCTTGTGTTGTTCTTACTCTCTGATGTATGTCGCTTTGGATAAAAGCGTCTGCTAAGTGAATTGTAGAATTGTAGAATTGTAGAAGTAGCTAGTCCACGACCAACGCACAGAAAAAGAAGACGCAGTCAGAAGTCCTTCACTGATACTAAACTAAACTAAACTAAAGTGGTCATTCCACACAGAGAAGTGTGTTGAAGACATCATAGTGAACTGTTTCAGGACTTTGGAGGTTTTTCCACCGTTGCATACAGGCTCTCTGGCTGAGCGTTGTCTCTGGGCTGAGTGGGTGCTTCAGAGCCGATGGGAGGCCCCAACAAGGAGTAGATGGTGGGTAGAGGACCAGCTGGGGCATCATTTGTTGGTCTCTGCTTCAGATGGAGGTCTGTATTCACAGCCTTTAACACACAACATAAGAATGGTTATTTTGCTATTTGATATGCTTTGTGATTTCAAATTCAGCTATTATAATGTATTAGCACTGAAACAAATAACAGCCCATGAACTCCTTAACAGACATATAATCCTTCATATTAAGTGAGAAGATAAAAACTGTTGCTTCAGTCCAGACTTCTTGAAAAGCATGTTAGTACAATTTATCACAGAAAGCTACTGCTACATTATTTGTCCAATTTGTGACTGAGAAAACATCCCACAGACTCAGTTACAGTCAGGTCATTACGTTCTGTGACTGAATTTGCTGGTTTGATGTCGAGCAGAAAGCTATCAGGTTCAACCTGCAACACAGAACCACAACACCCCATAACTTCAAAGGTTTAATACATTTACAACTGTTGGGAAGAAGTCGTCATGGATCTAGAAATGAGCTATGGTTTTCTTTATACCAGCCTGTCAGCACTTAGTACAAACGGACATTTTAATATGGGGTGGAAATGGGTATTTGTCAGCCCTCAGGAGCTGCAGTTTTGGGCACTTCCACATGGGCTTTATTTTCAACACTGGCCTGATCTCAGTAATAGTACAAAGACTTTTGAGCCCACAGCACCTTGCAGAACCTGCATTTGTTGTTTTTGCGAAGACGCCACTTTTGTGAAGTTGCAAAAAATAAGGGGAAAACAAGTTTAAAAAAACAAGCGCTAGTGAGGAATTTGAAAACAGTAATGTCTCTGGCTTGTCTCTTCACATCAGTTCTCAATCATTAATTTGTTGAAGAATTTCTTCACTTCTGACTAATTTGGGAAATTGGTATTAAAAAATATTCCTCCTTACCTGAGGATCTTCATAGACGGTATTTTCCATGTTCTCTGCTTTCTCTGCAGATCAGTCATAAAGAAACATGTTGAAACTACATTAACATTACTGGAGCTGATTCTTTTCTGGATTTTTTTGGTGTGATTTTGAGAGTCACTTTTTCCACTTTGAAAAATGTATTCTGTTAATTTATTAATAGTAATGAATGCAATCAAAATGCACAAACATTTTAAAATGGGGCCTCAGTTTAATAATTTGTAAATGATAAACAGTTTTGAATTGCCATCCTCAAATATTGTGAATTCATGTGAATTTAAAAGTTCTTTACATCTGATTTATTTCTCTTTATCAGATCGCCCTGATAAGAGGATTCACTCATAAGGGACGTCTTTTGAATGATAATAAAAACATCAACACAGGGGAGAAGAATGTACTCATCTAAAGGGTAAATTCAGTTTGATGTAAACAATAAGGATTTTCTGATTTCACATTTAAATTCATTTTAAATGCAAACTTAACTTACTTGGTTTTCTCCTTCGATGATGAATAAATCCTCCAATTACAGCCAGAACAACAACAAGAGATACGACAATGGCTACAACAATCAGTGTAATTTTATCTGGGTTGTCTTTCGATGCTGTAAAGAAAAAAGAAAGCCAGATTAGAAATTCATACTTGGCTGAACTCTTGCAGCATACCTGAGAGTGAACTATAACCACTCAATCTCACAGACCTGATCTGTAGTAAAATATGAAATTGGTCTAATCAACCCTGAATGGATGGTGCCCTAAAGTCACAATTTAAAACTACATGGAAGGATAGTCACCTCCTGGTTTTAAGGATCACCTTAGACATTTCTGACATTGTGTTTCTTTAAATAGATTGTTATCTCCTTTGGTGACCTGTTGTTACTGGCGTGTAAATGTAACTGTTTACTTTGTCTTGACTTCTTTTAATAAGACTCTAAAGGCTGTGAGACTGAATTGACCATCAGGGATTAATAACACATCTGAATCTCATGAAATCAATTTCATTGTTTTTAGCTTTTAAACAATTAATGCTAGCACATTTATATGTCAAATAATCTCTGCTTCGTTACATTTTATAGGTTAGAGGGCGTAATCACAAACAGAGAGGGAACAATGAATGACTGAAATGAGATGGATCGCACTAAGGCCATGTTTAGAAGAATGATGAACATGATGACTGGTTTGGTCTTTGTTTTCTTCTTGTGGTTTTTGTTAATGGTCTGTCATGTGTAAGTTTATATTTTGTGTGTGTTGTTATAAAAAATAATAAAAACTATTTTGATTTGTTTTTTGAAAGCCAATTGATTAAAAAACTATCACTGATTAGTCTTGCTCTGCTGCAATTATTTCTTCACAATTTATGAACAAAATGATCTCCTACCAACACAGCTGAAACACAATGGAGAAGATTTATATCATTGTTTCATCAACAACAAAAAAAAGAATCTGTTGGTTTCTATTCAGGCTACAATCCACACTGTTTATAAGTGTTAAATTGTAGTTTTTAACTCTTACTTCCACAAAGATCTTCAATCTTTTGGATGTCCCTGGTAGAGCTGACCTGGTTGCTATGGTTACAGATGACTGAGCCATGCTCCAGGTAGACGTCCAGAGAAGCACCAGGTGTGATGATCTCTGCTCGCTCTCCTCCCTCGTGAGAGCAGGTTTGGTTGTCACATGTGAACGTGTTGCTGATGAGAGAGTCCTCAGTGCTGCAGATCACTGTGACCTTAGTGGAGTCTGAGCTGCAGAGTTTCACTGTCAGCTTCACTCCAGACACTGGATCTGCAGGAAGGAGAGCAAGTGTGATGACTTTTTTTAAAACGGGGAACGACTCTGTATCAACATTTTCAAATTAAAGAAACGTACCCAGAACTGTGACGCTGTATTCAGCTACAGTGATTTCTTTGTCAGCAGAAACACTTGCTCTATAAACTCCGCTGTCTCTCTTTTGTACGTTCTTTAACAGTAGAGAGTGATTTTGTGCAGACAATTCTGCTCTAGATGTATAATTTTGGGAAATGGTTGGTTTACCGCCATGAACTAGTCTCACAACATTAACACTGCCAACAGTCCATTTAAATGAATCTGCCTCCTCCAGAACAACAGGTTCCTTCACATCCAGAAGAAAATCTGTTCCTGTCTGCACAAACACAGGTGTCACTGCAGAGAGAAGAGAAATAAAAATCATGTGTATGATTAAAAAAACACTTTAATCAATATTTCCATGTTAACAATGTATCACTTGTTTACTTGTATCTTAAAGTTCTTGACAAACACAGAAAATGATCACCTGACTGAAGGTTGAAGAGGACATGTTATCCCCCTTTTCCCTCTTTTCAAACAGTCCCTCAGTGGTCTAAATGAAACATCTGTGCTGTGCTTTGGTCAAAATTTAACATGAATCAAGCACCAGAGGAGGTTTGTGACCCTGTATAAACCAGCTCTCTCAGAGCGCTCTGTTCTGCTGTGTGTGTCTCTTTAAATGCAATGAGCCCCGCCTGAGTTTTCCTGGTAGACATCACTCCTCTGTAGCGAGAACAAAAATGGCAGACCTGCACAAAAGTTTTGTTCTAGGCTGGGGGTCTAGTCCATGGGTAGAGATACCAGGGGAGGGGAGGGGATTTTTTTAAACCAGAATCCCACTGTGACATCACAAGGAGAGCACATTTAAAACAGAGCATTTTTCTCTGTTTTGTAAGACTTATGCAGACCAACAAAGGACTGAATGGGTTTATTTCACATTTTGTGGGTCAGTAGACACTCAGGTTACCCAAATATATGTTCAAAAACACTGTACAAGTGGATTTTTCATAATATAATATATCCCTTTAAAAAACGCAAACCACAAACCTAAAACAGGAATGAATGTTTTAAAATACATACTTTGTTAATCCCAAAGGGGAAATTCTGGTTTACACTCTGTTATTGAGACATGCTACTACTCACACACAAAGGCCAGATATACAACCATGCACAAACAGGATCTATGAACATGCACTGATGAAGAGATGTCAGAGTGGGACTGATACACAGGGAGCGCGTCATAGCTGTTCGGTGTTCAATGCCTGACTTAAGAACAATTTGGTCGTACTCAGAAAGTGACCTGGAACGTCTCCAACAAACAGACAAACTCCCGTACAACCTAGGTCTCTACAGACTGAGCTACTACTGCTGCCCCATTCATGATTCATGATTTGGATTTATACTGTAATTAGGCTACTGCTTATAATGATTAATAGCTACATGCTACAGTAATATAATAGAGTTGTATTCATTGTGTAAAAACATTTTCTGCTCACGTTGTAAAATATTCTTAAAAATCGGTGAGTTTTTTGATTAAACATTTTTCTCAACATATCTGGGTAAACGTAACTGATGTAGAAACAGAAATGAAGATTGTCACTTTCTCTATTTATATGGCTCACAACAAACAGGACGACTAGAAGTGCAGCTATAGGGTGCACTGCACAATCCCACTCAGGAAAACCACATTTAGTCAGGGTGTCTTTTCCTTCAGAGCATCACATCAGTTGTTTTTAATACCACAATATTTAGTTCAGATTTCAACACCATACTCCCCGCCAGCCTCCATTCCAAGATGGTTGACATACTGCAGGGCTAAACACCTTCCTGTGTGCTTGGATCCTGGACTTCCTGTCAAACAGATCCCAGGTGGTCAGAGTGGGCAGACACACCTCCAGCCCCTGCACCCTCAACACTGGAGCACCACAGGGCTGTGTCCTAAGACCCCTAGTCTTCACTCTATACACCACATTGTAACAGCGTTTGATCTCCCCAGCCAGAAGAAGTGAACGAGGACGTCAAAAAGAAACTGCGAAAAAGCTTGATGTGAGTTTTCTGTCTGGTTTCTGCCTGTTGTTTCACACGTATGCTTGCTCGTTTTCACACGCAAATATGTTTTAACAAACACACACACACACACACACACACACACACACACACACACACACACACACACACACACACACACACACATCAAACTTTATTTATATAGCACCTTTCAGACAAATTAAATTGCAGTTCAAAGTGCTTAACAAGAGTGCAGAAAAGTTATTGACGAAAAGTAGTTTATAAAATCATTGATAAAATCATTGAGAGACCAATGCACACCAATAAGAATTAAAAATATATGTATAAAAATAAAATACAATAAAATACGACACATAAAAGCAACAAGATACTAAAATAAATACATAAGAGGAAAATATTCAAAATTGTAGTAGGATAAAAAGACAAGACAGTAATGTTAAGATTTGAATTGATATAAAACACTATATAAAAGCCAGACTGAATAAATGAGTTTTAAGACTGCGTTTAAAAATCTCAATATTCTGGGCTCCTCTCAGACCCTCAGGAAGGTTGTTCCACAGTCTCGGAGCATAACAGTTGAAAGCAACATCGCCAAAGGTTTTTGTCCTGCTCTGTGGAACAACTAAGAGAGAGGAACTGGAGGATCTGAGGGGCCGTACTGGTTCATAAACTAAAATCATATCTAATAGGTAGTCTAGTGCAAGGCCATGTAATGCTTTATAAACTAATAAAATAATTTTAAAATCAACACGAAAACTAACAGGCAGCCAGTGTAAAGATTTTAAAACAGGTGTGATGTGTGCTCTCCTTCTGGTCTTTGTCAGTACTCGTGCAGCAGAGTTTTGTAGTAGCTGAAGCCGATTTGTTGTGTTTTTTGAAAGACCAGAAAGGAGAGCGTTACAATAGTCCAGCCTGCTAGTAATAAAAGCGTGCATTAGGCTCTCTGTTTGGCTCAGAGAGAGAAATGGCCTCACTTTGGCGATGTTTTTCAGGTGGTAAAATGCTGTTTTTGTGAAAAATCTGAGTCAAAGATCACCCCAAGATTCCGTGCTTCTTGACTTGGGTTGAGTCCTATTTTTTTTAGTTTGGGGGCCAGTTTTTCTCTCTGAGCCTTTGAACCAATGATTAAAACCTCTGTTTTGTCCTGGTTGAGCTGCAAAAAATTCTGTGACATCCAGGCTTTTATATCTAAAATACAATTAAAAAGTGAGTCAATTTGTCTGGTGTCATCAGGAGACACGGCCACATAGAGCTGAGTGTCATCAGCATAGCTGTGGAAAGAGATTCCGTGCCTCCTGATGACACCACCCAGGGGTAACATGTACAAATTAAAAAGTAGTGGTCCTAAAATTGATCTTTGTGGTACCCCACTGGAGAGCTCGTATTGTTTGGAGGTGCAGTCTTCTATCAATACAAAACATTTTCTGTCACAAAAATACAAGGTGAACCAGTTAAAAACATTTCCAGAAAGGCCTACATGCTCACTTAGTCTATCTAAAAGAATCTGGTGGTCAACAGTATCGAAAGCAGCACTGAGGTCGAGTAGTACCAGAACTGAAGGCTTGTTGTTGTCGAGGTTTTTTCTGATATCATTAACTACTTTTAGCAGGGCCGTCTCAGTGCTGTGGCGTGCCCTAAAGCCAGATTGAAACATTTCTAATGTAGTGTTTGAGGCACTCAAAAAAAGGCACTCAACTGATTAAAAACTAACTTCTCTAAAATTTTGCTTAAAAATGGCAGGTTTGAGATGGGTATAAAATTACTAGGTGTTAAAATATCCAGGTTCCCTTTTCTTAAAAGAGGTTTAATTAAGGCAGTCTTAAAATCGGTTTTAAAAAGGGATGTTGGAATTGGGTCAAGGGAACACGTGGATGGCTTCATTTCTGTTACCACTATCCTGAGTGTTGCAGCATCAACCAGGGCAAAACTTTCCAACTTGACATCACTGATTGTACATGATACTGGAAAAAGTGCGGTGTGCTTGCTTTGCTGACAGATACCAGACCTAATGTCAACTATTTTATCCCTGAAGTAGCCAGCAAAAACCTCACATTTAGATCCTGAGAGCACAGAGCTGTGGGATGTAACAGAGAATCTATTGTTCTGAAAAGATGTCTGGGGTTGTGAATGTTGCTGTTTGTCAGGTTTGAGAAATATTCTTGCCTTGATTTTCGGATGGCTTTGTTGTAGTCTTTTATTGCTTCTGAGTATATTTTTATCAATTTCAATTTTTGTTTTTCGCCATCTGCGTTCAGCAATTCTGCAGTTTCTCTTAAGTGCATTGGTCGCATTGTTTTTCCATGGAACAACCTTTTTTGTATTTACTGTCTTTGCTGTGATTGGAGCGCAGGCATCAAGCACTGTCCTCAGTTTATAATTAAAATCGGTAACAAGTTGTTCACAGGATGATGGTAAGGTGGTATTTATGTAAGCTGTAAGATGTGATGTAAGAATTGTGGCTACTTCTGGGGGTAATGTGCCGTTTGGTAACTGTGTGTTCTATTGCACCTGGAGGAGAGTGATCAAAACTGTTAAAAAACACACAATGATGGTCAGACAGAGCTAGGTCAGTGATGGATGAAATATTAATGTTTAGGCCATATGATATAATCAGATCGAGGGTGTGTCCATGTTTGTGAGTCAGTGTATTGACATGCTGTTTAAAACCCATACATTCTAATAACTCTAAGAACTCTTTGGCTCTGGTATCTGCCAGTCTGTCAACATGTACATGAAAGTCACCAATTAAAATACAAGCATCATAACTTGTGTGAACGACAGATAAAAGATCAGAGAACTCTGTTAAGAAAGAGGAGAAAACTAAGTTGGGGACTCTGTATACTGTCACTGCCAGAATATGTGGCTTACATTTTAAAAGTGTTGCAGTGTATTCAAAGGAACAAAATTCTCCAAAATCTGTGTCCCTACTTTTCAGTGCCTCTTTATAGATAGCAGCTGTTCCACCAAATCTCTTTCCCTCTCTGCAGGAAAAAGAAAAGCTGTAGCTGGGTGGACAAGCCTAGTGTGGCAGGTGCATCTGTGCCTAGCTAGGTTTCGGTCAGGAAAATACAATCCAGGTTTTGATCACTAATGAGGTTGTTAATAATAAATGATTTGTTTGATAATGCCCTTACATTTAAAAGAGCCATTTTAATTTCTGTACATTTATTTGCGGACATAGAATTTATGTTTATGGGAACTTTTACCAGATTATTGAAGTTTGGACCCTTTGTAGTTCTATTGAAGAAGTGGTGGAGATGATGGTTTTAATAAAATCAGGAGCGGTAGAAGGGGTAGGAGGTCATGGAGAGATACACTGCACTATATTTTGGGCGAGCATCTGAGAGCCCCTGTGGTTTGGATGAAGTCCATCACAGTTGAAAAACGCCGGACGGCCCCAGAAAACATCGAAATTGTCAATAAAGGTGACCTTAACCTTATCACAGATGGATTTTAGCCATAAGTTGAGCAAAAACAGGTGACTGAATTTTTCAATGCCTCTTTTGTGAGTTGGAAGAGGTCCTGATATTGCAATATTTTTTCCAGTTGCTTTCAGACTGGAAATCAAAGTTTTGAAATGTTCCTTTAATATTTCGGACTCCCGGTGAGATGTGTTGTTGCTGTCGATGTGTGCCACCACAGTACTCACGTTACAGTGCTTTCCAAGCACAGCTGGAAGCTGGGTGTTGAGGTCTAACACCTGGGCTCCAGGGAAGCAGTGGACCGCTGCGGTGGTTCCGTGGGAGGTGAGCGAGAGCCCCCGGACGATGGAATCCCCATCGGAAGAGGTGGGTGCTGCTGAAAGACGCCGGTCGGGGGACGAGTCTGGGCTCAGAACCGTAAAACGGTTTTCCAGCCTGAGCTCTGGACAAGATGGTAGGGGACGGAGGATTCACGTCCGTCCTCCTCGCCGTCCTCTGTCACCCACCCGCTTCCATGGGTGTTCCCCGGGGCACGGAGTGGAGCAAGAGCCGACTGTGCGTCCCTCAGCAGGTACAGCTACGTCTGTGGTCAGCGGAGGAAAGTGCTCCTCTGAGAGAGTTTCCAAACATGGCTCTTGAACCGGTAGAGTCGTTGCAAAGAGAGCAGAGTTTTGTGTTCCCAAACTGGCTGATCCGATTAAAACCGTGGCATTAAAAGTGTCCTGAAGTTTTGATGTCTCTTTTAAAACAGTGTTGAGCTCTTTCATCTGACGAAGCTTCATGTGCATTTCAATGAGCTTCTCCTGTAGTTCATTTATTCTATTGCATTTAGTGCATATAAAATTGTCTGTAAAATCCTCAGAGCTGATGATTAAAAACATTTCACATAGTTCACATCTTTTAGCTCTTCTGTTCTCTGCTGTAGTTGTAGCTTCCATTTCAGGACAGGATCCACTCAGGTAGCAGCAGGTAGGCTACTCAGAGAAGTGTCCGAAAAATGTTCAAATATTCCGGTGATAGACACGGCTTCAAAAGTTTTTAAACCAGCTCACTATGGAAGGTCAATAGATGCTCATCAAACGGGATGAACAATTTAAAGCAATTTAAAAACAATTTAAAACAAAACCGAGAGCCAATGCCAGCAGCATGGACCATGGACCATACACAGACTAAGTGACATAATTTCAAGTTGTCTTTTGTCCTCAAGCTTCTTCTTTTTTTTACAGCTTAATACTTAATTATTTTCAGTGACTGTAAACTGCAGTTCACAAATACAATAGTTTTTTAGATTTCTCACTCAGAAATATAAATCCCATATCAGGAACTCCATGACAGTAAGAAAGTCATTTCAAAGGAGTGGAGGATGGACCGTCAGATTAACGCCTAAAGCCTCTGCTTTGTCAAACCGTTTGGGCGGTTTGCAATGTGAAGATGGAGGACTGATGCAAAAAAAGAGAAGGTAATAATATGAAAATGACCTCGATGGTTTCTGGACCCTGACCCTCAGCTATAACACACTTAGTCACTTTTTATACTTTCCATTTCAAGTTTTATGTATCAGGATAAAAGAACAGTTTATCTTCACTATAACTACTATACAGCTACTCAAACTGTAGAAACACTAATGGAAGTCTTAACATCTCCAGTTCACTCAGTGATCACAAACTCTAAAGTCTTTCACTTTGATTATTTACATTCAATCCACTGACCAGCCGCTGACAATAACAATCATTATGTCTCAGTTTAAAGTATGAAGGCCTTGTATAAACTCTCAGTGTTGCATAAATAAAAAAACAGATTACATTGTTAGATCTAACTATCATTAAAGCCGTGCAGAAATACAGATATTTACAAAAGAAACTTCAACAACAGGAAACATACAAAAAATAAAGTTCTTACCTTGTGTCGCACATAAATGCAGCAGAGAAAAAGAGAAGAGAAGTTCGAGTGGCCCCATTCTAAGAAATGAGCGACTAGCGGAAGTGATCTCGCTGTTTAGAGCTTATCACCTGCCTACTTCCTCATCTTTCTGTGTGAAACAGAGGATGATGTGTCGTTATTTGCATTGCCTGCATCAGACTTTGTTTGCAGTTTGTGACTTTATGGAAATAGTTTCTCTTTAATCTGATGGTCTGGACTGCTGCAGACCATTTAGAGGCATCAGTATTAAATTATTCAGTTTCATTTCCAAGAAAAGGGAGGGTAGTTAAACACAGGGACGTTACTGGGATGACCCAACTGGTTCACTGAGAAGTGTGGCCTGAAACAAATATCCATTTTCATCCTTACCAACTTCACCAATCCTATCTACTTTATAATACAAGATTATGGATACATTATTATATACAATATACAATTTAAAGTACTTAAACATCCCAACGCATTGCCCAGTTAGTTCATTGCAAGTAAGACAGAGTGCATTTCTTTCCTATGCACCTGTCTTATTAAAAAGATGGGCAACCTTTTAATTTACAAGTTAAAGTACAAACAAAAGAAAAATAATTTTCCCATTTCATCAGTCCATCCTCATTTTAAACACTTTATACATCCATCATTCCTCTCTTTTCCTCACCTGTCATGACTAATCATCATTGTTGCTCATTTAAAGTAGAATCATTATCAGTAACTTACAAACATCTCTTTCACATTTTCATCCCTCATCACTCAGGTGTGGGTCATCTCCTCAGTCCTCCTCAGGTCCTTGTTGTTTTTTTTAAAAAAGCCAATATGGGACTTTGACAAAGTTTGACATTAGTAACATGAAATTATAGCACAGAAGGCTTCTACACACATAATGCTTAATGTTGTATAAAAAAGTCGGATGTGCATTTACATCAATGTTATGTACAACAGCTGTATGTGATGGCACCAGGGGCGTGTCCAGACTTTTTATGACTGGGGTGGCCCAACTGGGGCACTGACTTATGTAGGGGTGGCCTGCAGTGTGATGTGCACACAAACACACACAAATAAATATCAATCATTTACCTTTTCTAACCTCACCAATAATATCTACTTTATAACACAAGATAATGTAAACATTAGCTTATTATTTGTATTTTTACAAACAAAAGAAAATGTGCTGCATTGATATTTAAAGAAAATAGCTTGCAGCCTTTGCAAAAAAAAGACCTAATAGTTGATTTTACCAAGTTCCGCCTCTGACAGGAAACATGGCCAGGAGTGGCCAATCAGATTTTTAGGGGGTCCCATGCCACCCCTCTGGACACGCCCCTGGATGGCATGAATTCATTCGTATGAGTTTGTTTGAGACAGACACACTGCATTTAGCCTTGTAGAAAAGATTATATATATATTCTTAAGTCCTCAAATTCAAACACAATCAGTTTGTAAGTGCTTTTAGTAGTATAAAAACACATTTTAATCAAAGTGCTAACTTTCTGTATTAAACAGCAGCATCTTTTTACTTGACCAAAAGTAAACAGAGCACATTTAATGTGAAGGTGGTCTATGTTTTTAGTTGTTGTGCTACATTAGTGTAACATACTCTACATACTGCTTGATCTATAGCATATTCTAGTGCAATGCAATGTGAGAAATATATCTGACACTGTTGTGGTGTGACAAAAAAAAGGAAACGACAAGAGCCTGTTTGCGGTGCATGGTGTGGGGAAACTGCGACAGTCTTTCTTTTTACATTTACAGAAAAAAAATTGAATGAATGACACAGAACAAAATATGTTTTTTATAACTCATAATCAGCTTTATTAAATCACTTATGTCAGAAATAATTTTCCCTTTTCATCAGTCCGTCCTCATTTTAAACACGTTATACATCCATCATTCCTCTCTTTTCCTCACCTGTCATGACTAATCATCATTGTTGCTCATTTAAAGTAGAATCATTATCAGTAACTTACAAACATCTCTTTCACATTTTCATCCCTCATCACTCCAACCCGGTATCATGCCAAAGCGTGTGATAGACACGTTGGTCCACTAGAGGATGCGTGTCAGTGTCACGCATTGCCTGTCTTCAGCGTCAAATGTACACGCCTGTGATCGATACCAGCAGGGGGCGATAATTTACTCAATGCCAACAACCATGGCGGACAAAAGAAAAGAGATTCAGTGTACTCCAAACCTCCTTCCTGTCAGGTAAGAGTTATGACGCGGGATTAATATTTATTATTAAAGGGGCTATATGTACAGCCAGAGGCCGCCTTCCACACACTTCTGTCCGCCCTACGAGCTCTCAAAGGCGGACAAACTCATCACACACTCCTGCTCTCAGTCAGTGCCTGCAGATACTGTCGTTTGTAGGATGGAGAATGAATACAGACACATAGACTCCTTCACAGACTTTCACATGTGTATGACCACTTACCTCCTCTGTAAACATTATGCCGAAAAACTCGTATCGCGGCCGATGATGATGCTTGTTTGTGTACGTACGAGCACATGTGACGAGCACGGGAGGGAGAGCGAGCAACAGGTTACTGGTGCAGTTCGCCTAACGGCCATGCAGCGTGAGAATACAACATTTTTCATAGTTTGGTTTCAATCCAGATAAAGAGGCAAAACAATTTAGCTCAACAACAAAACTCCTTTTCATTATTACCATTTGTGGAACTCGTGTTGGTTAATCTCCCACTATTTTTTATTATTTCTTTTTTTAATCATTCGCTTCCTCACATTTCTCTTCTATTTGATTTTATTTTCATTGTGTAAAGCACTTTGTAACCTTCTTTTGAAAAGTGCCAGATAAATTAAGTGTTATTAAAAAGTATGATCAGGTCAAATAAATGAGTTACTCATGCATCTGCTTGTTCCGTTTTCATTAAATGTTTGTTTTCAGATGGAACTCTAAAAGTTCAGTCTTCTTTATGTTGCACACAGGAAATGCACAACATGTTAAATATAGACCAACGTGAGAGAACAAAGGAGTGGTTTTAACCACATTGGTAGAGAAGCAACAAGACGTAAATTCTGAACTAATACACGGACATAACTACACTTTCCACCCTTCAATGTTGTGAGTTGAAGGTTTTTTTCTCTTGATTTGAATCCTCAAGTTGGATCCTTTTTTCCTTTGAAATGTCTCAAAAACACAAGATGAAACAATGACCTCTGAAGGGAGCAAAGAAAAACAAGTTACAGTGCTGATTGTTGTACTTCTATATGGCAGACAGTGTGAGAGAGCAGACAGCTTTCTCAAACGTGACAAACATCAACCAGTCTGCTGATCTCACACACATTTAATATTCTGTTACCTGTCCTCTTGGCCAATCAGAGAGGAGCTCAGTGACAGATTGACTGCAGGTGTACTCTATCTCACCTCCCCTGTAGTGAATCGAGTATGATTGAACAAAGGAAAAAAACAAATTAAATTCCTGACTTAGTTTTAGTCTTTTCAGAGTCATATTAACAAAGTACATTAAGAGATCTAAATCATTTATATTTTTCTACATAAACACTGACTCTCGAGTGAGAGGTTCACCTTCCTCTCGGTGTAGACATCAACATGTATCAAAAATAATCTACATTGTTGGAGACGATGTGCTCCATAACACTGATTTTCATTAAAATCTCTGAAAGAGTCCAACAGGATTTGATCAACCATACTAAAGTCCACTTGTTTATAATCTTTCATCCATTTTGACCTCAGGACCTACAGTAACAAACTCTACACATCAAGAGAAATGAAATGGAGCTCAGAGAGAAGATAAAAAAAAAGGCTGACATCCTGAAAACATTAACTCACTGTCAGTGTTTGTGGGTTTGACAGAAGAAGCAGCACGTCGACAAGGCTCACTCTAACCCTGTGGTGTGTTTGTAACAGTGAAACAGAACACACACGTTGTGGCATCCAGAACAACAGAGGCTCTATCATGTTCATCTTTATGATTCTGGGTCTGCTGGCTGGCATCCAGGCACAAGGTAGGAGAAGAACATCATCTTATTATTATAATAATGAGAATAATTATTACTTTTAATTTGTGGGGAAAAGGACAAATAACAAAACTAAAAGTTAAATCATGTGATCATCTCCTGTAACTACAGACAGATTAAGGGGGAAAACTGTTCAATTGCAACAAAATAAACAATTCAATTATTCAGTACTCAATTTTTTTAACAATATTTAACATTTCACTAGTTGAGGGTATAATCTCACTTTTTATTAGAGAACAGGAATGAGTCTTTTCAAAAGGAAATAATTTCACTATTTTATTTAATTTAAGACAACTCAGATTTATTTTGGAAGTTTTTATGTTTGGCAAACATAATACTGCAAGAGTGATGCAAACAATGTAATATATTATAAAAAGATGTAAGCTAACTGTTTTCCCGGCCACTTGAAAAAGACTTCTCTGCTCCGTCTAATTTACAGATCAACATGAAGTGACCTCAGGTTTGAATTCATGATTACAAATAAACATGAGCTTCACTTGCGATACATGATTTTATCAGTTTGTGTGTTTGTATCTGTAATAAATGTAATCTAAGTGATGACATATTAAGAAAGAGGGACGGATTTTAAAGAATTTGCATGAAGGAATGACAACCTTTATTACAGTAAATGTTTCAGTGTCTTTGTATATATTTATAAAAGTTTGAGACTTAAAACAGTTTCACTCTAAAAGCACGCTGATGAAGCTTCAATGTTTTAAAAAGAACCTGGTTCTCTGAAACAAGAGGAAAAAATCTGCTGCCTGCTGCACCCTGTCCTGTTGTTGAATCACATTCTTGTTAAAGATCGGTTTGCGTCACCTTTCTAATGAAACAATATTTTTTTTTGGTCCAGAGATATCTGGGGTTGGTTTCTCTATCTACAGGCTGAAGATATTCGTGGTCTCGATCGGTCTGGTCATCATGATGTGTGCCGTCATCAGTGTTCACGTTGTAGAGAAGCTTAAGAAGAAAAAATAAACAACCACCTCTCCCCCAACAATCCTCTGTGGAGAGTTTGACCACTAGTAGCACAATGGAGCTACTTGTTTTCTTTTCTTTTTTGACTGAACATGTGTGACCTTGTTGTGTTTAAGCTGTGTGTATGTGAGTCTGCAGGGGGCACGGTGGTATATACACACTTATTTCACAGACTTCATGCTATTCCACTGATGGACTGTTGGTGGCGGTAAAACACAGAGAAATGTAGTTTGAGGAGGCAGAGGAAGAATATCAGCAAACATGGATGCAAATAATGAAGAGAGTAAAAATACCTGTACAATTCTGCTTTGACTTATAAAGTTTATTAGGATAGAAGTGACTCAGCACTTTTGTAGAGCTTCATAGACATATTATAAATACCTTTTTAATCAATAAAATTAATGTAAAAAGCAATTGCATTGTTTCTTTACTATACACACAGTTCATCCATCACACAATGCTATCATTTCCCTCCATCCATTATTCAGGGTTGCGCGCGGGGGGGCTGGAGCCGATCCCCGCTGTCATTGGCTGAGAGGCGGGGTAAACCCTGGACTGTTCCCAGTTAATCACAGGGCAAAATGATTTTATATCTTGAATTAAATTGTTTACATTGGCCTCTTGTAAATAAATTCATTGCTCAGAGTTGATGTAAAAGGTTTTGAGATGTTGTCTGCAGAAAACATAAAATGCAGTATTTGTAATGTCGTTTGTCCTATTTATAATATTATTACTGATAATTATAAAATATTAATCAATGATATTTCACAGTATTTGTCCAACCATCATATTGGACCCTCAGTAATAAACTCTCACTCTATAATATGATGTGAAGCCTCCTTTCTGGACCTTCAGTAATAACAAAAGCATTGTAAATATATTGTACTCATCGATATATTTGATGGATAATGGCTAATAGGTGAGAGAGTTTGATGTGTTTGGTGTTAATTCACTTGTATTATTGTTTCTTTTTGCTGACATGAAGTTCAGTGTGAAGCAGTAAACTTATTCACTCATTCTTTAAATGTCTGTTAAAGCTCCTGTGAGGAGTTATTAACTGGTTATGTAACAGACTGAGATTAATACTGATGCCTCTTTATGAGCTACACAAGCTGAGGAGATCATCATGGACAAGTCACTATGGAGGAGGTGTCAGGCCAAACTTACCTTTTTTACATTCTGCATGATAAAGGTTCATGTTGAGTGATACATTTGCTTTAAAAAAAAAGCTATATGAAGTTTCTTTTATCCACAAGGTGCTTTAAAGTTGACACAAACCAGAAGATCCTCACTGTAGCTTTAAATTAAAAAGGCTTTATTCACATTAAGGTTAAAAGAAACATTTGATAAGAAGCATCAAGATGATCAAATATTGGCAAAAACACAAATTAGCAATAAAACTATGTCAAAAAAAATAGATCGTAACATTTGAAATATATACAGTAAATTAATTAAAAAAAATAAAATATCTACATCAAAACAGTTCTATTGTATGTGTCACCTGATTGTTAACAGCAAAGGTGTCTCCATATAGCATGTGACATAAATGATCTCTATAAACATATAATTTATGATGTTGCAGGTGAGAGGCTCAAATGTCTGCAACAAAACAGTTCTTGTTTCGGTCTGAAGTCCAAATGGTATTATTCATCAGCAGATTGAAATGTAAAATGTAAAATGTATTGAATCATCTCGTTTACGACGGAGGTCCAACATAAAAAAACAAACAATACAAGTGACACAGAGACATTCAACAACACATACAAACACACTCATACATCAAGCCACCAGGGCATTCATTCTGTATTGCCACTCCGCCCACACAATGTAAACAGCCACGAGATATCACATCACATATTAACTAATAACATTGTAAGTATTGACACTAATGATGGTAATTACAAAGATTACAGTACAATCAGAAGCCTCCTTATTAAGGGGGCAGGAAGACATTATTATTGGAAGCAGTGGAAGGGCGATTTAAAAAATAAAAATAAAAAGTTAATTGTTCACAGGTTATCTGGCAAATGATTCCAGTCAGAAGGTGCTTGTTGTTATAATTCATAATAAAATCAGCAATCTGACTGTAGTTGGGTCTTTTAACTTCATTGCATGACTCAAGTAGCTACCTCAAGTACCTCAAGGGTACCTCAAGGGTCAGTGCTTGGTCCCCTTCTCTTCTCCATATACACAAGCTCACTTGGTTCAATCATCCGCTCTCATGGCTTCTCTTACCACTGCTATGCTGACGATACCCAGCTCTTCCTGTCATTCCCGCCAGACGATGTTACAGCCTCAGCAAGAATCTCATCATGCCTTGCTGATATCTCTAAATGGATGAATGAACGCCACCTTCAACTCAGTCTTTCAAAGACTGAGCTCCTTGTCATCCCAGCCAGTCCCTCTATGCAACCACAGATCAATATCCAGCTTGGAACAACCAAACTCATGCCCACAAAGTCTGCCCGGAATCTGGGTGTCATGATTGATGACCAGCTAACTTTTAAGGTTCAAGTAGCCTCGATTGCCCGGTCATGTCGATTTGCCCTGTACAACATCAGGAAGATCAGACCTTACCTGTCAGAACACGCCACACAGCTCCTGGGTACAGGCTCTTGTGATATCACAAGATATCACCTACTGGCAGGTCTTCCTACATGCACTATCAAACCTCTGCAAATGATTACAAAACAGCAACAAAAACGGCTCCTCCTTACTTTAACTCTCTCATCCAGGTCTACACTCCCTCCCGCCCACTACGCTCTGCCAATGAAAGGCGTCTGATCCAACCTTCACAACAGGGTCCTAAGACGCTGACTAGACTCTTCTCCTCTGTCGCCCTCTGCACCTTTAAGAAAAAGCTAAAGACCCAGCTCTTTCATGAATACCTACTTAACTTAATGATGATGGTCTCCATATTATTGATGATGATGATGGTTGTGACGATTGTTTTTGTTTGATAACGATGACTTATAAGATGGTTTCTATACTGATTAGAGCTCTCAAGAACTGCTGTCAATGTTGTGCTTTGCCTCTGGTCACTTCCTGTCAGCACCTGTGTGTCCAATCAGACTCGAAGCTGATCGTTTGCTCTTACTGACATTGTTCCCTTTTTTCTACATCCTTGCTTGTGTTGTACTTACTCTCTGATGTATGTCGCTTTGGATAAAAGCGTCTGCTAAGTGAATTGTACAATTGTAGAAGTAGCTAGTCCACGACCAACGCACAGAAAAAGAAGACGCAGTCAGAAGTCCTTCACTGATACTAAACTAAACTAAACTAAAGTGGTCATTCCACACAGAGAAGTGTGTTGAAGACATCATAGTGAACTGTTTCAGGACTTTGGAGGTTTTTCCACTGTTGCATACAGGCTCTCTGGCTGAGCGTTGTCTCTGGGCTGAGTGGGTGCTTCAGAGCCGATGGGAGGCCCCAACAAGGAGTAGATGGTGGGTAGAGGACCAGCTGGGGCATCATTTGTTGGTCTCTGCTTCAGAGGGAGGTCTGTATTCACAGCCTTTAACACACAACATAAGAATGGTTATTTTGCTATTTGATATGCTTTGTGATTTCAAATTCAGCTATTATAATGTATTAGCACTGAAACAAATAACAGCCCATGAACTCCTTAACAGACATATAATCCTTCATATTAAGTGAGAAGATAAAAACTGTTGCTTCAGTCCAGACTTCTTGAAAAGCATGTTAGTACAATTTATCACAGAAAGCTACTGCTACATTATTTGTCCAATTTGTGACTGAGAAAACATCCCACAAAGACTCAGTTACAGTCAGGTCATTAAGTTCTGTGACTGAATTTGCTGGTTTGATGTCGATCAGAAAGCTATTAGGTTCGACCTGCAACACAGAACCACAACACCCCATAACTTCAAAGGTTTAATACATTTACAACTGTTGGGAAGAAGTCGTCATGGATCTAGAAATGAGCTGTGGTTTTCTTTATACCAGCCTGTCAGCACTTAGTACAAACGGACATTTTAATATGGGGTGGAAATGGGTATTTGTCAGCCCTCAGGAGCTGCAGTTTTGGGCACTTCCACATGGGCTTTATTTTCAACACTGGCCTGATCTCAATAATAGTACACAGACTTTTGAGCCCACAGCACCTTGCAGAACCTGCATTTGTTGTTTTTGCAAAGACGCCACTTTTGTGAAGTTGCAAAAAATGAGGGGAAAACAAGTTTCAAAAAACAAGAGCTAGTGAGGAATTTGAAAACAGTAATGTCTCTGGCCTGTCTCTTCACATCAGTTCTCAATCATTAATTTGTTTAAGAATTTCTTCACTTCTGACTAATTTGGGAAATTGGTATTAAAAAATATTCCTCCTTACCTGAGGATCTTCATAGACGGTATTTTCCATGTTCTCTGCTTTATCTGCAGATCAGTCATAAAGAAACATGTTGAAACTACATTAACATTACTGGAGCTGATTCTTTTCTGGATTTATTTGGTGTGATTTTGAGAGTCACTTTTCTACATTGAAAAATGTATTCTGTTAATTTATTAATAGTAATGAATGCAATCAAAATGCATAAACATTTTATAATGGGGCCTCATTTTAATAGTTTGTAAATGATAAACAGTTTTGAATTGCCATCCTCAAATATTGTAAATTCATGTGAATTTAAAAGTTCTTTACATGTGATTTATTTTGTTAACATTGTAAATTGTTTATTTATTCTAACTCTAAGGTGTGGCTTCTAAGTGTAACTGCTGCGCTGTCTTTATCAGATCGCCCTGATAAGAGGATTCACTCATAAGGGACGTCTTTTGAATGATAATAAAAACATCAACACAGGGGAGAAGAATGTACTCATCTAAAGGGTCAATTCAGTTTGATGTAAACAATAAGGATTTTCTGATTTCACATTTAAATTCAGTTTAAATGCAAACTTAACTTACTTTGTTTTCTCCTTCGATGATAAATAAATCCTCCAATTACAGCCAAAACAACAAGAGATAAGACGATGGCTACAACAATCGGTGTAACATTATTTGGCTGCCTTTCGATGCTGTAAAGAAAAAAGAAAGCCAGATTAGAAATTCATACTTGGCTGAACTCTTGCAGCATACCTGAGAGTGAACTATAACCACTCAATCTCACAGACCTGATCTGTAGTAAAATATGAAATTGGTCTAATCAACCCTGAATGGATGGTGCCCTAAAGTCACAATTTAAAACTACATGGAAGGATAGTCACCTCCTGGTTTTAAGGATCACCTTAGACATTTCTGACATTGTATTTCTTTAAATAGATTGTTATCTCCTTTGGTGACCTGTTGTTACTGGCATGTAAATGTAACTCTTTACTTTGTCTTGACTTCTTTTAATAAGACTCTAAAGGCTGTGTGACTGAATTGACCATCAGGGATTAATAACACATCTGAATCTCAGAAAATCAATTTCATTGACAGTTTTTAGCTTTTAAACAATTAATGCTAGTCCATTCATATGTCAAATAATCTCTGCTTGGTTTCATTTTAAAGGTTAGAGGGCGTAATCACAAACAGAGAGGGAACAATGAATGACTGAAATGAGATGGATCGCACTAAGGCCATGTTTAGAAGAATGATGAACATGATGACTGGTTTGGTCTTTGTTTTCTTCTTGTGGTTTTTGTTAATGGTCTGTCATGTGTAAGTTTATATTTTGTGTGTGTTGTTTAAATGTTATAAAAAATAAAAGATACTATTTTGACTTATTTTTTTAAAGCTAATTGATTAACAAACTATCACTGATTAGTCTTAAATCATGACAATGTTTCTGCTGAAATTATTTCTTCAGAATTTATGAACAAAATGATCTCCTACCAACAGCTGAAACACAATGGAGAAGATTTATATCATTGTTTCATCAACAACAACAAAAACATCTGTTGTTTTTTATTTAGGTTACAATCCACACTGTTTATAAGCGTTAAATTGTAGTTTTTAACTCTTACCTTTACAAAGATCTTCAATCTTTTGGCTGTCTGTTTTCGAGCTGACCTGGTTGCTATGGTTACAGATGACTGAGCCGTTCTCCAGGTAGACGTCCAGAGAAGCACCAGGTGTGATGATCTCTGCTCGCTCTCCTCCCTCGTGAGAGCAGGTTTGTGTGTCACATGTGAACGTGCTGCTGATGAGAGAGTCCTCAGTGCTGCAGATCACTGTGACCTTAGTGGAGTCTGAGCTGCAGAGTTTCACTGTCAGCTTCACTCCAGACACTGGATCTGCAGGAAGGAGAGCAAGTGTGATGACTTTTTTTAAAACAGGGAACGACTCTGTATCAACATTTTCAAATTAAAGAAACGTACCCAGAACTGTGATGCTGTATTCAGCTACAGTGATGTCTATGTCACCAGAAACACGTGCTCTGTAAACTCCACTGTCCCTCTTTTGTACGTTCTTTAACAGTAGAGAGTGAGTTTGTGCAGAAAAATTCTGCTCTTGATGTATAATTTTGGGAAATGATTGGTTTACCACCATGAGCTAGTCTCACAACATTAACACTGCCATTGACATTCCATGTAAAGAAATCTGCCTCCTTCAGAACAACAGGTTCCTTCACTTCCAGAAGTAAATCTGTTCCTGTCTGCACAAACACAGGAGTCACTGCAGAGAGAAGAGAAATAAAAATCATGTGTATGATTAAAAGAACACTTTAATCAATATTTCCATGTTAACAATGTTTCACTTGTTTACTTGTATCTTAAAGTTCTTGACAAACACAGAGAATGATCACCTGACTGAAGGTTAAAAACACAAACCTAAAACAGGAATGAATGTTTTAATATACTTTAATTTACACTCTGATATTGAGACATGCTACTCACACACAAAGGCCAGAAATACAAACATGCACAAACAGGACCTTTGAACGTGCACTAATAGAGAGATGTCAGAGTGGGACTGAAACACAGGGAGCGCGTCATAGCTGTTAGGGGATGATCAGTTTGAATTGGAAGAGGATGAAGAAAGCCGACTTGATTAGGTGTTGAGGCTCCCTGAGCAGCTGCTTGAGTGAGCAGTAGGAGCAGAAGCAGATACAACTTTTATATATTCCTATTGTAATTAATGCTCTTAGTATTGTTTTAACGTACAATAATATTTTCCTTTCTCTAGTATTCTGTCAGGTTGTGTTGCACGTCGTATGTCATTATCTGCTGTGCTCTTGTACGATGCTTTCAGTGATAATAAAAGGTCAGAACTGAATCTAACTGGAGTCGGGTTTGTGTGAAAGAGTGAAGGAAGGGTAGAGGAAAGGATGATGGGATGTAAGGATGTATGTGCACAGGGATTTTGTGAAGCCTGCGGACACATGGATGAAAGCTGTAAGTAGCTTGAGGGATCAGAGCAATTTGGCCGGAAAGAGACCTGGAACGTCTCCAACAGATGAACTCCCATACAACCTAGGTCCCTACTGATGTTACTACCGCCCAGGGTCCGAAATTAACTTTTTGACTCACCGTCCAAGGTGGCCGGCAGATGAAAACATTCACCGCCCAAACATTATACATCTATTTTTTTACCGGCCAAAATAACAAATTTTGTTTTTGTGTCCTATACACATCTGTTACAGTACATTTAATTGAGGAGGCATTATGTTCTGTTTAATCAATAACACATTTAAGTCACAGATTTGATCATGTCATCAGATCAGGAAATTGAGAAATTGTAAAAAAAATATATATCTGCCGGCCTTTATTTTTTTCTTAATGTATTACTTGTAGGCAGTAGTTTACCACACCACACCACACCACACCACACCATCACACCACACCACACCACACGACCACACCACACCACACCACACCACACCACCACACCACACCACCAGTTTAAAGTATGAAGGCCTTGTATAAACTCTCAGTGTTGCATTAATGAAAAAACAGATTACATTGTTAGATCTAACTATCATTAAAGCCGTGCAGAAGTACAGATATTTACAAAAGACACTTCAACAACAGGAAACATACAAAAAATAAAGTTCTTACCTTGTGTCGCACATAAATGCAGCAGAGAAAAGAAGAGAAGTACGAGGGGCCCCATTCTGTGAAATGAGTGACAAGCGGAAGTGATCTGGCAGTTTACAGGTATAAACCTGTCTAACACTGCCCCTCCAATCACGCAGCATCTACGAGTGAGGTCATTCAGCCATGTGTCCGTGAACTGCATGAAGCAACACTCTAGGTATTCCTCTGAAGCCGGGTTAAAGAAGGCACGGATGGTTTGAACCGTCTTTTCCTTTCCCGACACTTCACTTCGGCTCTGCAACTGCGGTCAAGCCAGCCGCTCCTCGAGTTTACCTGGTGAAGTGCAAAGTTTGCCCCACACACACGTGGCTCAGGGCTCAGTGCGCACCTGAGCAAAGGAATCTCTCCTGAGCTGAAGGTGTGTGTGTGTGTTTAGTGCTGTGACCAACATATCTCTTAGCTGCTTCCTCAAGGCATAAAGAAATGAGACAGACACAAACCCCTCCATAGTCCAGCAGAGAAACAAAACCTGCGGCCCGCGAGCCACTGTTTTAGACAGTCATGACTCACAGCGATATTTACAGAGGACAAGGACGTAACTGAGTTGAACATTGGGAGGGGGGGTTTGAGATTTCCGCCTGTGAAGCAGGTCTGAGGACATGCCCTGCATGACCATTTTTACCTGCTCAGCTGAACCCTCTCCACAGACTGGAATGCTGCTCTCAGCCTGTCTCTCTCTGTGAGGAAAATCACACGATCACACCTATGGATAACTAAAACTATGTTTTTAGCTGCTTAACAACAACATTTGAACTCTTTGACCTTATTACATGGTCACCTGTGCCTTCTCTCTCTCTCTGATCCCTCTGTCTTCCCTGCTTTTGCTGCTACTTTCACCTTCATTCATTGATATTTATTATCAATAATTATGATATCATATTGGGTGGGTTGTGGTGGCTGATTTGGATTATTGGGTGGGTTGCAACCCACCCACCCCCCCTATAAATTACGCCTATGACAGAGGATATACTGGATTTCTGCTATATTTACAGTATGTGTAAAATGTCGCACATTCAGCCTATACGACCAAATTTTGATTTAGGAACATCTCTGTATAGAATTGCTGCCTGTTTGTGTCAAAAGTACAGTTGAGCTCAGTACACGACAGTAATGTGAAGGCTGAAACTGATTTGATGCGTTACATTAACGCTCACTGGACTTTTATATTTTCTGTTTACATTGCACTCTGTTTTAGACTGCAAATCATGCACATCTGCACAACTCCTCCATTGCACATTTTGTGTTTTATATTCTATTATATATTTTTTATTGCTTTTTATATTTCTATCTTGTTCTTTTTAAGCTGTCAGCTGGAGATCTTGTGTTTTTATTCTGATTCTGAAGAGTCAATAACCCTGTTTCAAGGTGGAAAACCATAACCAGTTTGGAAATCCTTTGTCCTCTTACTGACTAAACTTAAATCTAGAATCCTCTCATAACCCTCTTATTGTCACTGTATAAACTTTTATTAAACACTGTAAAAATTAACATTTGAGTATTCATTTCAGGCCCTGATCCTGGGGGCTTTGAGGTCGAGCACATAGCACAGTCCGTTGTCCATATCAAACACTGGCAGAAAATAAAATTATATTCAGTCACATAATGTGTACAGTTTAAAGTTTATTGGCAGCTTTGTTTCTGTACAATTATATGTATTTTATATATATATATATATATTAAATTCTGATTCACAGACAGAGCTGCAGAGAAGTACTGAACGATTCGGTGAACGAATCACTTTATTGAACTGATTGTACTGAGAGAGTCAGTCCTTTAGGTCTTTTTGTGATCTCAGTGAATAACTCAAATGAGGCTTCTCACAGAGATGCAGGCCCAAGTCCATTGTTTGCCTGTCTTAAGCCTGCGTGGCCCAACATAGAGAAGCTTAAGAAGAAAAAATAAACAAGCACCTCTCCCCCAACAATCCTCTGTGGAGAGTTTGACCACTAGTAGCACAATGGAGCGACTTGTTTTCTTTTCTTTTTTGACTGAACATGTGTGACCTTGTTGTGTTTAAGCTGTGTGTATGTGAGTCTGCAGGGGGCACGGTGGTATATACACACTTATTTCACAGACTTCATGCTATTCCACTGATGGACTGTTGGTGGCGTAAAACACAGAGAAATGTAGTTTGAGGAGGCAGAGGAAGAATATCAGCAAACATGGATGCAAATAATAAGAGAGTAAAAATACCTGTACAATTCTGCTTTGACTTCTAAAGTTTATTAGGATAGAAGTGACTCTACAACGCTGGTTCAGTTTCATGTAGAACAACTTAGAGACAGTAATACATGCTTTTATTTCCTCTCGTTTAGATTACTGTAACTCTCAGTACACATGTCTATATCAACAGAGTCTACACAAGTTACAGCTGGTCCAGAACGCAGCAGCCCGACTCCTCACCAAAACTAAAAAGAGAGACCACATCACTCCTGTTTTAGCCTCCCTTCATTAGCTCCCAGTACATTTTAGAATTGATTTTAAGGGTTTTTTGTTCACTTATAAAGCACGCTCTGGACTAGCACCAAAGTAAATATCTGATCTACTTACATGCCCGGTCGTAACCTGAGGTCATCAATCAGCCAAAGCACTGCTCGCCATTCCACAATCGAGGCTGAGGACCAAAGGTGACCAGGTCTTCTCCATCAGGGACCGCTGAAGTGTCGTCATTAGACCGCCTCATGTTATTGACCCTAACCCACTCACTTTACTAACAGAGTTTTATCAGCTGGAATATGTATTCCTAAAAGACATTTGATCATTTAACAGGAGCCTGGCACGGTGTCTGAACACTTTTTTCCTTCAATGATTCAAGTTTAAGAATACAACATTTTTCATAGTTTGGTTTCAATCCAGATAGAGAGGCAAAACAATTTAGCTCAACAACAAAACTCCTTTTCATTATTACCATTTGTGGAACTCGTGTTGGTTAATCTCCCACTATTTTTTATTATTGATTTTTTTAATCATTCGCTTCCTCACGTTTCTCTTCTATTTGATTTTATTTTCATTGTGTAAAGCACTTTGTAACCTTGTTTTGAAAAGTGCCAGATAAATTAAGTGTTATTAAAAAGTATGATCAGGTCAAATAAATGAGTTACTCATGCATCTGCTTGTTCCGTTTTCATTAAATGTGTTTGTTTTCAGATGGAACTCTAAAAGTTCAGTCTTCTTTATGTTGCACACAGGAAATGCACAACATGTTAAATCCAGACCAACGTGAGAGAACAAAGGAGTGGTTTTAACCACATTGGTAGAGAGAGAAGCAACATGACGTAAATTCTGAACTAATACACGGACATAACTACACTTTCCACCCTTCAATGTTGTGAGTTGAAGGTTTATTTCTCTTGATTTGAATCCTCAAGTTGGATCCTTTTTTCCTTTGAAATGTCTCAAAAACACAAGATGAAACAATGACCTCTGAAGGGAGCAAAGAAAAACAAGTTAGAGTGCTGATTGTTGTACTTCTATATGGCAGACAGTGTGAGACAGCAGACAGCTTTCTCAAACGTGACAAACATCAACCAGTCTGCTGATCTCACACACATTTAATATTCTGTTACCTGTCCTCTTGGGCCAATCAGAGAGGAGCTCTGTAATCAGTGCTGGATTGACTGAAGATGTGATCAATCTCACCTCCCCTGGAATGAATCGAGCAAGATTGAACAAAGGAAAAGATCAAGTTCAATTCATGAATTAGATTTAGTCTTTTCAGAGTCATATTAACAAAGTACATTAAGAGAACTAAATCATTTATATTTTTCTACATAAACACTGACTCTCGAGTGAGAGGTTCACCTTCCTCTCAGCGTAGACATCAACATATATAAAATAATCTACATTGTTGGAGACAATGTGCTCCATAACACTGATTTTCATTAAAATCTCTGAAAGAGTCCAACAGGATTTGATCAACCATACTAAAGTCCACTTGTTTATAATCTTTCATCCATTTTGACCTCAGGACCTACAGTAACAAACTCTACTCATCAAGAGAAATGAAATGGAGCTCAGAGAGAAGATAAAAAAAAAAAAGGCTGACATCCTGAGGTTGACTCACTCTAACCCTGCGGTGTGTTTGTAACAGTGAAACAGAACACACACGTTGTGGCATCCAGAACAACAGAGGCTCTATCATGTTCATCTTTATGATTCTGGGTCTGCTGGCTGGCATCCAGGCACAAGGTAGGAGAAGAACATCATCTTATTATTATAATAATGAGAATAATTATTACTTTTAATTTGTGGGAAAAGGACAAATAACAAAACTAAAAGTTAAATCATGTGATCATCTCCTGTAACTACAGACAGATTAGGGGGAAAACAGTTCAACTCAAGTCAAGTCAACTTTATTTATATAGCACATTTATAACAGCCGAGGCGACCAAAGTGCTCTACAGTAAATTAGGCAAAACACATTACATCCAAAACATCATAAAGACACGTAAAAGCAAAAATTAAAAGTAATTAAAACACAAGACAATAGTAAAAGTTCTAGTAGACACTGCTGCTGGATAAAACACTCAACTAGAGAAAAAGCCAAGGAAAAGAAATGGGTTTTAAAAAATGACTTAAACTGTTCAGTTGTGGCAGCAGATCTTATTTTAAATGGTAATCTGTTCCAAAGTGTCGGAGCTGCAACAGAAAAGGCTTGGTCGCCCGTAGTTTTGAGCCTTGTTTTGGGCACGTCCAGGAGCAGCTGGTTGGAGGACCTTAGTGCTCTGGATGGAGCATGAACATGTAGTAGTTCACTTAGGTTATGAGGTGTTGAGCCATTTAATGATTTAAAAGCCAGAAGTAAAATAAAATCCTGTAGCGAACAGGAAGCCAGTGGAGAGAACGGAGCACAGGGGTTATGTTGCAACAAAATAAACAGACCCTGTCAATTATTCAGTACTCAATATTCAATATTTAACATTTCACTAGTTGAGGGTATAATCTCACTTTTTATTAGAGAACAGGAATGAGTCTTTTCAAAAAGAAACAGTTTCACTATTTTATTTAATTTAAGACAACTTAGATTTATTTTGAAGTTTTTATGTTCGGTAAACATAATACTGCAAGAGTGATGCAAACAATGTAGTATATTATAAAAAGATGTAAGCTAACTGTTTTCCCGGCCACTTGAAAAAGACTTCTCTGCTCCGTCTAATTTACAGATCAACATGAAGTGACCTCAGGTTTGAATTCATGATTACAAATAAATATGAGCTTCACTTGCGATACATGATTTTATCAGTTTGTGTGTTTGTATCTGTAATAAATGTAATCTAAGTGATGACATATTAAGAAAGAGGGACAGATTTTAAAGAATTTGCATGAAGGAATGACAAAGTGGAAAACCTTTATTACAGTAAATGTTTCAGTGTCTTTGTATATATTTATAAAAGTTTGAGACTTAAAACAGTTTCACTCTGAAAGCACGCTGATGAAGCTTCAGTGTTTTAAAAAGAACCTGGTTCTCTGAAATAAGAG